ACTTTTTAAAAGAGCAGTCATTTTCTTAGGCTGTTACTGTGATTATATCTGAGTTCCAGTTACACACACACACACCTCCTGGTCTCTGCTTCCCTCTCCCTGAGCAGAGCCCGGGTGCTGCAGACAGGAGAGATCTGTTACCCCCAGACATGACATTTGTGGCAGCAAAGAGCCTGCAGCCAAGAAACGCGTCCTGTCTCGCCCCTTAAAGGATCAAAGCGCAGGGGCGTGCGCATGGATGTCGGAAGCCTGGTCTTGCTGCGGGTGGGGAGGCTCTGGCGAAGGCGGCGCGTGGGGGATGCTCAGCCCTGCCGAGTGCCTCGTCCCGCAGATGGAGCTGCCGTTCACAGCGTGGGATCATCCCAGGTGGCTCTGGCAGCAGTAACCCCGCTCCAGCCTTCACCAGTGCTGGTCGCCAGCCCTTCCCCTTCTCTGCCCTGCATCTTCCCTCCTCTCTCCCCCAAGCAGGCAGCCGCCTGGCCTCCTCATCAGCCACACGAAAGTGAAAAGGGGTGTGTGATAATCACCTGCAGCGGCACCCAAACGTGGTGCCTCTGACTTTGTGTCTGTCCTGACTCATCCATTTGGCACAAGAGATCACGAGGCAAATGTTCACGGTCTGCGTCCCCAGACAGAAAGCAAGAATATGAATTTTGAGCTAAATTTAAGCTGTCTGAGAGCATTTTTGAGTTCCTTTCTGTCTGCACAGTGCCGTTCCATCACAGAATTAAAGCATATCCCTGCTCTTAATACCACCCTCTACCATACAAACCGTCAGCAGCATGAAACACGCACAAAGAAACATTTGTCTCCTTGCAGTCACTGCGAAGAAGACGACGGTCCGTGTTACAATGACAGGAGGAGCTTGGACGTGGCTGCCCACTCCTGGATTCCAGCCGCCGTCTGATGCTTTTTGAAAACTCTGTCCCCCCACGCTGTGCCTTGCTGCTTAACCATCGAGCACAGCCTCTTACTACAAGGAGAGGGAGAGCTTAAAAGCCGGGTTTAGCGACTGGTCCGCCCGTAGGAGGTGCCCTCCATACTGTCCCAAAGAAAACCCACTGCAGGTCGCGTGAAAACCGATGTGCGCCCGGAGTCTCATTAGTTCCATATGATAAATGCTTCGTGCTACAGCAAGTTGTTGAAAGCTTTTTATATTTAACCCTGGAATTTCGCTGGCTGCATCCCTTCGCCAGATGCCGTGTGCTAATCTCCTGTTTACACCTCCAGGCTGACGCTGGGTAAACCCTTGGGAGAAGGTTGCTTTGGGCAAGTGGTCATGGCCGAAGCGGTGGGGATTGACAAAGACAGGCCAAAAGAAGCGGTGACTGTGGCGGTGAAGATGTTGAAAGGTAAGAAAATGGGCGGATTAGGGATCAGGGTGGGTGATGTGGCAGTTCTTGTCCGCAAAAAAGTTTCTTTTGTGGCATCTGAACTCTGTCATCGTGGGGTGGGGTGGGTGGGTCAAAGAGCACATAGCTGACCTCAGCCTTCAGCAGTTTGGGGTGTAAATCTGTGCCCTTGACAGCCTGTTTATCTTGAGCAGCGAGTATTTAGGAACCAGGAGATGTATTAGCATCGTATGGGTGTCTCTGCTTTTAGTTTAATTCATGTCAGAGGCTCTCCATGTGCAGATCCTAGTCCAGTCCAGGTGGTTGGTGCCCGTTTTTTTTTTTAATTTAATTGTAAGGTTAGTTTGTAGGAAAGGCATAGTTGTTGGAGACTTGATAGCTAAGGACAGCATTTTTATGTTGGATATTACTGGTTTCCCTCTTAACATATAACACTGAAGAGGTGGCCAGTCCAGGCTGAGACTTTTTTTGTTAGGACATAACATATGACTTTGTATAACATACAGTGTATACTGGAAAACAAACCCCAAATTCTGCATTTTGAAGCACACATTTTACACCAGCTGGTCAGCCTTAGTGGAATTTGGGCTGGCACGCTAGAAAATACAAACTGAGCCTGTGTCTTGTGCAGATGATGCTACAGAAAAAGATCTCTCTGACCTGGTGTCAGAGATGGAGATGATGAAGATGATTGGGAAGCACAAAAATATCATCAATCTCCTTGGAGCCTGTACCCAGGATGGTGAGTAGAGAAATAAAAAAAAGCAAGCCAAGACTTTCTGACAGGTCTGCATAAGTCTCATTAATCATAATTTTTCAAGAGTTTTTAAGGAAACAGTCATGCCGTGATGGGATTTTTAGATATTTCCCTAGCTTAGCAGCAATATTTAACTTCTGTCTCTCATTATACTTGCAGCTTTAATATGAGAAAGGGTACTATATCATATGAAAACACTCTAATCCCTTG